TGTTATTGGATTCTATTTGAGGGCTCTTCGCATCTGTTCATCAAAATATTTAAATGATGAATTTACATATATTGCGGATACCTTTTTCAAATCTTTTCGTATCTGAGACAATTATTACAGAGAGCTAAAAATAAAGCGTTGAAAATTCACTCATCAGCGCAAAATGACACCTCAAAGGTTACTACAATTAGATCAATGAAAGATACAATTTCAGCTACCTCTGATAATATTTCGTTTGGTCGCATCTTTTACCAAATAACCATTTGACCGAACGTATCTCTCATAATCTAAATGCATTAAAAAATTAGAACTATTATATTACCTACTAGGACTATCCGTAGTTTATTAAATAGCACCAGCAGACAACATATTACATCCGATGCTTGCATCTATCAAATATCATGCAAAAATTGTGACCTAAAATATGTGGGTGAAACAGGTAGGTCCTTAAAATCTCGTGTTTTCGAACATAAACGAGATATTCGTCTCGGTAATTTTAACAATGCTTTAGTTGTACACACAACTAAAGCAGATCATAATTTCGATTTTGATTCCGTGAAAGTATTAAAATATTTTCATAATAAAAATCTCAGGAGGATTTATGAAGCAGGTATAATATCCATCTCACGCACGGTGAATACTAGACCTGGTTTCTTTAATATTTCCCCTTTTTTAGCGAGATTGATGCTCGACAAGCATACACATAAGAATTTTGGAACCTAATAGAATTCTTTTCATTTTCTTTTTCTTTTTCATTTCAAAATAATTACAAACTTTTTTAGAATACGTTATGAAAGCGTCGCCCATGTGACGACAGCGTGACCATGTTAGACGGAAGGCTGATCATTTTAAAATTTTCAGTTATCTGTTCTGAATAAGACTTGTGTTTTTATGTCCATCGTATTTGTCATATTGAACTGAATTGTATTTTGATGAATATTGTCTTGAAAAAGGTTTAATAAACCGAAACGTCAGACGTCGACATTTCTTTCATTTAACTACATTTAAGGATTTTTGTTTGTTTTTTCAAAATTTCTTCATATATATATATATATAAAGTTTTGGTCTCTGCCTGTAGGGTTTTGAAAATATACCCCATAACCATATATCTTCTGAAACTACATTAACCAGGGTACTTGTCTAAATATATTTCATTTTGATCAAAGGGGATCCACCGGGGGAACCAACCCCCCTCTGATTTTTTTTCTCTCTTTGACTTAAATTCAATTTAAATATGAACAAGGGATAAGTATATTTCATTGTGATCAAAAGGAATCCCCTTCACCCGACCCCCCACACACACACACACCCGATTTTTTTCCCCTTTGGTTTCAATTGAATTTAAATTTGGGCAAGGAAATGATTCCTATCCAAAATGGAGAGAAGGAAAAATCCAGAAATCCAGCTGTATGTAAATAACGGACCCGGTGGATAGAGGTGACCCTATCGACAACCCAACCACCACCAATAAGAATAATCGTTAGAGAGAAAGAGAGAGAGAGAGAGATAGATAGAGCGATAGAGAGAGAGAGAGCGTCAGAAAGAAAGAGAGATTGAGAGAGAGAGAGAGAGAGTGATTGAGAGAGTGTGTAACCTCTTAGTCTTTGTTAGGCCATCTCCCTAGGAAGAGATAAACTCTGATGTAACACCTGTGGTACAGTAACAAAACAAAAGATGCCTTAATCTTTTTGGATCATTGGTTGTGTTGCTCAGAGACTGGTATTGGGATTGTGGACCATTTTTCTTCACTTTAGAATTTATATATATATATATATATATATATATATATATATAATGTTTATACATTCTTTTTATAGATACAAATATTTAAGTAAATCCTCTGTTTATAATAATAGTATTAAACAACATTTACCGGCCTGAATCTATAAAAAGAATGTATAAACATAAAATGTCTTAAAATAATTGTCGGACTTTGTCCATTTCATAATACAGTATAACCCGGATATAAAAGACCTGGATATAAGAGAAAACCCGGATATAAGAGAGATTTTCTCTGGTCCCAAATTAGAGCCTGTGTTAATGTATATAAAATAGACCAAACCTGATATAAGAGAAACCTGATATAAGAGAATTCTTCTCCGGTCCCGACAACTCTCTTATATCCGGTTACAATAACTATATATATATATATATATATATATATATATATATATATATATATATATATGAGATCTGAAAATAATAGTATCAGAACTATTGTTATGGTAACGGAGCTAAAAACACAAAATGGGAGTTGTTGGCACAGATCGACCTTGAACTCTGACGCGTATGGACTCTCAGCTATAACGTTCTCGCTTTCTTCCTTTGTTTATTGGAGTGTTTGGAAGGAAAGTGTACTGAGTGCGGTCGTCTCACCACATAACCAATGTGGTTCCATCAGTGGCCATGGATTAAGCAATATTTAGCCATCACAGTATTCTGCAAATCCGACAAACACTATATTCCCCCGATCTTGCCTCTTACGACTTTTTCATCATCCAAAATCAAACCCCACTCTAAAGGATCACGATTTCAATTTCAATATATATATATATATATATATATATATATACAATCACATTCACTGAGGATTGTCCGTGAATATGAAAGGATCCTATTAAAAATAAGTAGACAAAACTTGTTTAAATTATTTAATGAAACATCTCTCAATGAAAAACATGCTGACAAAATATACGCAATATATATATATATATACATATATATATATATATATATATATATATATATATATATATATATATATATATATATATATTCAACATTGAAAAATTAAGGAAAATATTAATTATTTTTAATAATATGTGGAAATCTCCGCTTTTACTTGAAGACGATATATATATATATATATATGTAAATGCATAAATTCCCAAGAGGATAGAATCCAGGTAGAACTCAATGTCCAGGATAGAGTAAAAATATAATATAAAAGGCTCAAACACTAATATTCCATGGTTATAATTTATTAGATTGTAATCGTAATATCTTTTGTAAGTCTAATGATTTGGATCATGATTACGAGTCCAATGTAATAAAGCCTTTTATATTATATATATATATATATATATATATATATATATATATATATATATATATGCAGTTCACTTCACTAAATCTTTCTTAATCTCTAAACATCAAATCTTTAGGGAGATAGTATTTATTGTTCTCGCCAAAATTTTACAGCCCCCCGCTTGTACACTCTTTAGCATACATACAACTATATATCTCGTTCATCATTTATCTCGGGATTGCACACAACAAATTGCTTGACGAGATTTTATGGTAAATACCATTAGTTGCTATAGAATGTGATATTTTCTTTACCATTAATTTTTGCTGAGTGTAAATTATTTTTTTGTAACTATAAAAAATAGAAGAATAGTTGTCTGTCTTTTATTGCAAACATAAACTTAAAGAATCGAGAATTTCTTGCTTGCTTCGTTCGCGACTGGACGTCGTTGCTCCAGCAGACGTTAGCATAAAATTGAATAAAAACTAAAACTAGGAGAATTGCTTGTGAAAAAAGTCCCTTTTAAAGAATCTTTTTTCTCAGCTGAAATAGTAGGAATGTAAGAAAAATAATAATAATAATAATAATAATAATAATAATAATGGGAAGAAGAAGATGATGTTGAATAGGATAGAGAAGAGAAAATGAAGAAGATGAGGATAAAGAAATCTAACGCATGGAGATAATAATAATAATAATAATAATAATAATAATAATGGGAAGAAGAAGATGATGGTGAATAAATGGATGAAGTAGAAGATGAAGAAGATGAGGATAAAGAAGAAGGAAAAGGCAGAGGGGAATAATAATAATAATAATAATAATAATAATGGGAAGAAGATGATGGTGAATAGGATGGAGAAGTAGAAAATGAAGAAGATGAGGATAAAGAAGAAGGAAAATCAGAGGGAATAATAATAATAATAATAATAATAATAATAATGGGAAGAAGAAGAAGATGGTGAATAGGATGGAGAAGTAGAAAATGAAGAAGATGAGGATAAAGTAGAAGGAAAAGGCAGAGGGAATAATAATAATAATAATAATGGGAAGAAGAAGATGATGGTGAATAGGATGGAGAAGTAAAATGAAGAAGATGAGGATAAAGAAGAAGGAAAATGCAGAGGGGAATAATAATAATAATAATAATGGGAAGAAGAAGATGATGGTGAATAGGATGGAGAAGAAAAATGAAGAAGATGAGGATAAAGAAGAAGGAAAATGCAGAGGGAATAATAATAATAATTATAATGGGAAGAAAAAGATGATGGTGAATAGGATGGAGAAGTAAAAAATGAAGAAGATGAGGATAAAGAAGAAGGAAAATGCAGAGGGAATAATAATAATAATAATAATGGGAAGAAGAAGATGATGGTGAATAGGATGGAGAAGTAGAAAAATGAAGAAGATGAGGATAAAAAAGAAGGAAAAGGCAGAGGGGAATAATAATAATTATAATGGGAAGAAAAAGATGATGGTGAATAGGATGGAGAAGTAGAAAATGAAGAAGATGAGGATAAAGAAGAAGGAAAAAAATGGCATAATAATAATAATAATAATGGGAAGAAGAAGATGATGGTGAATAGGATGGAGAAGTAGAAAATGAAGAAGATGAGGATAAAAGAAGAAGGAAAATGCAGAGGGAATAATAATAATAATAATAATGGGGAAGAAGAAGATGATGGTGAATAGGATGGAGAAAGAAAATGAAGAAGATGAGGATAAAGAAGAAGGAAAAGGCAGAGGAATAATAATAATAATAATAATAATGGGAAGAAGAAGATGATGGTGAATAGGATGGAGAAGAAAAATGAAGAAGATGAGGATAAAGAAGAAGGAAAAAATGCAGAGGGGTTATAATAATAATAATAATAATAAAAAAGAAGATGATGGTGAATAGGATGGAGAAGTAGAAAATGAAGAAGATGAGGATAAAGAAGAAGGAAAATGCAGAGGGGAATAATAATAATAATTATAATGGGAAGAAAAAGATGATGGTGAATAGGATGGAGAAGTAGAAAATGAAGAAGATGAGGATAAAGAAGAAGGAAAAGGCAGAGGGGAATAATAATAATAATAATAATAATAATGGGAAGAAGAAGATGATGGTGGGATGGAGAAGAAAAAATGAAGATGAGGATAAATAAGATGGAAAAGGCAGAGGTGAATAATAATAATAATAATAATAAAGAAGAAGATGATGGAATAGGATGGAGAAGAAAAATGAAGAAAGATGAGGATAAAGAAGAAGGAAAAGGCAGAGGGGAATAATAATAATAATAATAATAATGGGAAGAAGAAGATGATGGTGAATAGGATGGAGAAGTAGAAAATGAAGAAGATGAGGATAAAGAAGAAGGAAAAGGCAGAGGAATAATAATAATAATAATAATAATGGGAAGAAGAAGATGATGGTGAATAGGATGGAGAAGTAGAAAATGAAGAAGATGAGGATAAAGAAGAAGGAAAAAGGCAGAGGTGAATAATAATAATAATAATAATAAAGGGAAGAAGAAGATGATGGTGAATAGGATGGAGAAGTAGAAAATGAAGAAGATGAGGATAAAGAAGAAGGAAAAGGCAGAGGAATAATAATAATAATAATAATGGGAAGAAGAAGATGATGGTGAATAGGATGGAGAAGTAGAAAATGAAGAAGATGAGGATAAAGAAGAAGGAAAAGGCAGAGGGGAATAATAATAATAATTAATAATGGGAAGAAAAAGATGATGGTGAATAGGATGGAGAAGTAGAAAATGAAGAAGATGAGGATAAAGAAGAAGGAAAAATGCAGAGGGGGATAATAATAATAATAATAATAATGGGAAGAAGAAGATGATGGTGAATAGGATGGAGAAGTAGAAAATGAAGAAGATGAGGATAAAGAAGAAAAAAAAATAAGAGGGAAATAATAATAATAATAATAATAATGGGAAGAAGAAGATGATGGTGAATAGGATGGAGAAGTAGAAAATGAAGAAGATGAGGATAAAGAAGAAGGAAAAGGCAGAGGGGAATAATAATAATAATAATAATAATGGGAAGAAGAAGATGATGGTGAATAGGATGGAGAAGTAGAAAATGAAGAAGATGAGGATAAAGAAGAAGGAAAATGCAGAGGGGAATAATAATAATAATAATAATAAAGAAGAAGATGATGGTGAATAGGATGGAGGAAGTAGAAAATATAAGAAGATGAGGATAAAGAAGAAGGAAAATAAAAAGGGGAATAATAATAATAATTATAATGGGAAGAAAAAAGATGATGGTGAATAGGATGGAGAAGAGAAATGAAGAAGATGAGGATAAAGAAGAAGGAAAAGGCAGAGGGGATAATAATAATAATAATAATAATGGGAAGAAGAAGATGATGGTGAATAGGATGGAAGGAAAATGAAGAAGATGAGGATAAAGAAGAAGGAAAAGGCAGAGGAATAATAATAATAATAATAATAATGGGAAGAAGAAGATGATGGTGAATAGGATGGAGAAGTAGAAAATAAGAAGATGAGGATAAAGAAGAAGGAAAAGGCAGAGGTGAATAATAATAATAATAATAATAATAATGGGAAGAAGAAGATGATGGTGAATAGGATGGAGAAGTAGAAAATGAAGAAGATGAGGATAAAGAAGAAGGAAAAGGCAGAGGAATAATAATAATAATAATAATAATAATGGGAAGAAGAAGATGATGGTGAATAGGATGGAGAAGTAGAAAATGAAGAAGATGAGGATAAAGAAGAAGGAAAAGGCAGAGGGAATAATAATAATAATAATAATAATAATAAGAAGAAGAATGGTGAATAGGATGGAGAAGTAGAAAATGAAGAAGATGAGGATAAAGGAGGAGGAAAAACGCAAGGGAAAATAATAATAATAATGGGAAGAAAAGATGAGGAATAAATGGAAGAAGAAGAAGATGAGGATAAAGAAGGAAAATAATAATAATAATAATAATAATAATGGGAAGAAGAAGATGATGGTGAATAGGATGGAGAAGTAGAAAATGAAGAAGATGAGGATAAAGAAGAAGGAAAAAGGCAGAGGGGAATAATAATAATAATAATAATAATAATGGGAAGAGGAAGAAGGAAAATGATGATGAATAGGATGAAGAAGATGATGGTGAAAATGAAGAAGATGAAGGATAAAGGAGAAAAAGGAAAAGGCAGAAATAATAATAATAATAATAATAATAATGGGAAGAAGAAGATGATGGTGAATAGGATGGAGAAGTAGAAAATGAAGAAGATGAGGATAAAGAAGAAGGAAAAGGCAGAAGGGAATAATAATAATAATAATAATGGGAAGAAGAAGATGATGGTGAATAGGATGGAGAAGTAGAAAATGAAGAAGATGAGGATAAAGAAGAAGGAAAAGGCAGAGGGGAATAATAATAATAATAATAATGGGAAGAAGAAGATGATGGTGAATAGGATGGAGAAGTAGAAAATGAAGAAGATGAGGATAAAGAAGGAGGAAAAAGGCAGAGGAATAATAATAATAATAATAATAATGGGAAGAAGAAGATGATGGTGAATAGGATGGAGAAGTAGAAAATGAAGAAGATGAGGATAAAGAAGAAGGAAAAGGCAGAGGGAAATAATAATAATAATAATGGGAAGAAGAATAATAGGATGGAGAATAGAAAATGGGAAGAAGAAAAGAAGATTGGGTGAATAGGATGGAATAATAATAAAATAATAATGGGAAGAAGATGATGGAATAAATGAAGAAAATGAAGAAGATGAGGAAAAGGAAGAGGGAAAAGGCAATAATAATAATAATAATAATAATGGGAAGAAGAAGATGATGGTGAATAGGATGGAGAAGTAGAAAATGAAGAAGATGAGGATAAAGAAGAAGGAAAAGGCAGAGGGGAATAATAATAATAATAATAATAATAATAATGGGAAGAAGAAGATGATGGTGAATAGGATGGAGAAGTAGAAAATGAAGAAGATGAGGATAAAGAAGAAGGAAAAGGCAGAGGTGAATAATAATAATAATAATAATAATAATGGGAAGAAGAAGATGATGGTGAATAGGATGGAGAAGTAGAAAATGAAGAAGATGAGGATAAAGAAGAAGGAAAAGGCAGAGGGGAAAATAATAATAATAATAATAATAAGAAGAAGATAATGAATAGGATGGAGAAGTAGAAAATGAAGAAGATGGGATAAAGAAGAAGGAAAAGGCAGAGGGAATAATAATAATAATAATAATAAGAAGAAGAAGATGGGTGAATAGGATGGAGGAAAAAAGAAGATGAGGATAAAGGAGGAGGAAAAGGCAGAGGGAATAATAATAATAATAATGGGAAGAAGAAGATGATGGTGAATAGGATGGAGAAGTAGAAAATGAAGAAGATGAGGATAAAGAAGGAGGAAAAGGTCAGAGGAAATAATAATAATAATAATAATGGGAAGAAGAAGATGATGGTGAATAGGATGGAGAAGTAGAAAATGAAGAAGATGAAAAACTGGATAAAATCGAAGAAGGAAAAATAGCAGAGGTGAATAATAATAATAATAATAATGGAAAGAAAATTGAAAAATAGAAGATGATTGTCAATAAAACCAGATGGAAAAGTAATTGAAATGGCTTGTCCAGCGGATTGTAAAAAAAAAAAAAAAAAAAAAAAAAAAATGAGGATAAAGAAAATACAAAAAACCAGAGGTGAATAATAATAATAATAATAATGGGAAGAAGAAGATGATGGTGAATAGGATGGATGAAATTATAAAAATGAAGAAAAATGAGGATAAAGAAGAAGGAAAAGGCAGAGGGAATAATAATAATAATAATAATGGGAAGAAGAAGATGATGGTAAAGAGGATGGAGAAAAAAAAAATGAAAAAAAATTAATATGAGGGATAAAAAAGGAAAGGAAGGAAAAATGCAGAGGAAATCGAATAATAATAATAATAATAATGGGAAGAAGAAGATGATGGTGAAGAGGATGGAGAAGTAGAAAATGAAGAAGATGAGGATAAAGAAGAAGGAAAAGGCAGAGGGGAATAATAATAATAATAATAATAATAATAATAATGGGAAGAAGAAGATGATGGTGAATAGGATGGAGAAGTAGAAAATGAAGAAGATGAGGATAAAGAAGAAAATGGAAAAATAATTATAATGGGAGAGGATGGAATAATAATAATAATAATAATGGGAAAAGAAGAAGATGATGGTGAATAGGATGGGATGGAGAAGTAGAAAATGAAGAAGATGAGGATAAAGAAGAAGGAAAAGGCAGAGGGGAATAATAATAATAATAATAATGGGAAGAAGAAGATGATGGTGAATAGGATGGAGAAGTAGAAAATGAAGAAGATGAGGATAAAGAAGAAGGAAAATGCAGAGGGAATAATAATAATAATTATAATGGGAAGAAAGAAGATGATGGTGAATAGGATGGAGAAGTAGAAAATGAAGAAGATGAGGATAAAGAAGAAGGAAAAAATGCAGAGGGAAATAATAATAATAATAATAATGGGAAGAAGAAGATGATGGTGAATAGGATGGAGAAGTAGAAAAATGAAGAAGATGAGGATAAAGAAGAAGGAAAAGGCAGAGGGGAATAATAATAATAATAATAATGGGAAGAAAAGATGATGGGTGAATAGGATGGAGAAGAAAAATGAAGAAGATGAGGATAAAGAAGAAGGAAAAAATGAGGGGAATAATAATAATAATAATAATGGGAAGAAGAAGATGATGGTGAATAGGATGGAGAAGTAGAAAATGAAGAAGATGAGGATAAAGAAGAAGGAAAATGCAGAGGGGTATAATAATAATAATAATAATAATGGGAAGAAGAAGATGATGGTGAATAGGATGGAGAAGTAGAAAATGAAGAAGATGAGGATAAAGAAGAAGGAAAAGGCAGAGGGGAATAATAATAATAATTATAATGGGAAGAAGAAGATGATGGTGAATAGGATGGAGAAGTAGAAAATGAAGAAGATGAGGATAAAGAAGAAGGAAAATGCAGAGGGGAATAATAATAATAATAATAATGGGAAGAAGAAGATGATGGTGAATAGGATGGAGAAGTAGAAAATGAAGAAGATGAGGATAAAGAAGAAGGAAAAGGCAGAGGGGAATAATAATAATAATAATAATGGGAAGAAAAAGATGATGGTGAATAGGATGGAGAAGTAGAAAATGAAGAAGATGAGGATAAAAGAGGAGGAAAAAATGCAGAGGGAATAATAATAATAATAATAATGGGAAGAAGAAGATGATGGTGAATAGGATGGAGAAGTAGAAAATGAAGAAGATGAGGATAAAAGAAGAAGGAAAAATGCAGAGGGGAATAATAATAATAATAATAATAATAAGAAGAAGAAGATGATGGTGAATAGGATGGAAGTAGAAAATGAAGAAGATGAGGATAAAGAAGAAGGAAAAATAATAGAGGGGAATAATAATAATAATAATAATAATGGGAAGAAAAGATGATGGTGAATAGGATGGAGAAGTAGAAAATGAAGAAGATGAGGATAAAGAAGAAGGAAAAGGCAGAGGGAATAATAATAATAATAATAATAATGGGAAGAAGAAGATGATGGTGAATAGGATGGAGAAGTAAAATGAAGAAGATGAGGATAAAGAAGAAGGAAAAGGCAGAGGTGAATAATAATAATAATAATAATAATGGAAGAAGAAGATGATGGTGAATAGGATGGAGAAGTAGAAAATGAAGAAGATGAGGATAAAGAAGAAGGAAAAAAGAACAGAGGGGAATAATAATAATAATAATAATAATGGGAAGAAGAAGATGATGGTGAATAGGATGGAGAAGTAGAAAATGAAGAAGATGAGGATAAAAAGAAGAAGAAAAAAAGGCAGAGGGAATAATAATAATAATAATAA